GAGGAAGAGATATAACGAATAATGGATGCCAACGCATCAATGATTGACCTGGAACTGCGGTAGGCAAAAACTGATTTCACGGGAGCTGATTGATTATGTTTCCACTCAGCGGCTCAAATCATCTCTCAAAGGCAGAATCCAGTGAAGCCGAACTTTCTGATCGCTTCCATATTTCTTACCACAAGTTAAGGGAGTTCGCAACACGCGGCATACTTCAGATTAATGAAAGAAGAAAGCCAGCATAAATCTGGTTGGTGGAACACTCGGATTAACTGGGTATACCGGAAGTTTCAGTATGTTTTAAAGCATAGATTCTTTATGTCCCATTGGTCAGGGGCTGTATACTTTGATGCTATTGTACTGCGTGGTTGACAGTCGGACAGTGCATTCAAATCTAACCCTGCCAAATGCTTTTGTCTCTTTCTCCCTCATAATGTCTTATCTAATCACGATGGAAGTGTTCCTCTATACGCCCGAATAATGTCCTTTTTACGCAGAATACTAAGAGTCACACAAAATCTAATTGGTACATTTGTACATGGTACAATGTGTGTAGAGTGGTCCTGAATTCCGGGCCATGGGAGGTGAGGGACGGGGCGGTTGATTTTAAAGAGACAAATCGGAATTTCGATTTCACCGCTGACAACGCGTAAAAATTGAATTTTTTCTGTGGTTTACTTTATTAAACAAAATTTATTTTACGATTGTAAAAGTGTATGATGTTCTTCGTTCATGGAGCTACTCAAAACATCTGTGCAATGCTAAAATCGATGACGAAACGCTGATCTTATGGTCTGTGCCCGTTTCTCTCGCCAATTAGCCTGTAAAGTGCTTTTCCCAAGTTAAGACCGAGAAACCAAAGGTTAATTTCTCAATATTACTTCTTAAATGTGGACATATAACAACTGTTTTAAAGTACTGCTATGTATGTTTGGTGCTTTCCAGATGGCTACATGTCGTCTCCGACCTCTAGGATAAATTGTAAACGGATGGGAAGTGTTATAATTGTCTAGTATCTGTTCAACTGTGAATGACAAATTTTAATCATATAGCTACTTGTAGTCTACTTAAACCGATTTTTTTGTCTCAACTAGCTGATCAGCTTAGCTGGTAATTTTAATTAACGGAAATTTTGGTGTAGTTAAGTAGCTCTCCTTCTTTACGACCATGAAACTTGTCTTTCATCCAAACAGTATCACTATTGAGGAAGTGGCTGATGCGGCCACATTGACAAGTCCACGAGGTGCGGAAATGCACATGTCGGGGTGCCCTTCTGGTTGGAACACAAGTCGTGTAGTTTGCACGTCACGTTCATCAACTTTGGAGAGAACAAACACCTTGGATCTGGGCAGTCTGGAGGAGCGTCATTCAACTGTCTCCTCAGTTCCGTTTACCGCATCTAAATCTATTCTGGCCGAATGTGCTGGAGAATTCGGACAAGATGGTGGTGCACTGGAACTACCAGAGCATCAAGTCAGACTGTTCATTCCACCAGGAGCGCTTCCGATACATCCGCCAACACGGCGTCTATTTCTCCGCGTGAGTCACCGAGGGGACCAAACGTATTTCGTTTAACGGTTTTCATGTTCCGCTTTTAGCTACTCATGAGTAGTGGTTTATACTCAAATTCAATGGGTCACTCACAAACTGCCCATGAATATCACCTATACCAATGATAAATGTGCATTTGACTCAGTTTCTCTCTTACGGAGCTCATCAGTAGTGCATATACACAATCCCATCCTGTCCTTGAACTTCGGATCCATCGCATGGAAAGCATGTGTGTTACCACTGTGCCAACCAACTCATACCAGGGCTGAGCCAAATTGCCAATCGATGATTATTCAGGTGTCGTCTTCAGTAATAGTCAGTCAGTTCATTTGGGTCCGACAGCAGCAAACAGAGACACACAAAAGGAGACACGCACACAATCTTTTAACTCCAATCAAAAGCCTCCTATCAAATCAGGTTCTCCATGCAGATTGCGTGCTGATTCGTGCCAAACCAACTGAGCTGGATTTGTATTTAACTCACATGCACAACAGCAGCTAACGACAATCCAGCGCAAGATAAGTCACTAAAACTATCATTTCCCGCCGTAAATAGAACAAAAATGTGGGAAGTTTGACTTCAAAAATGCAAGCGCTTTGACTGAGTTAAGAATGAAAACCAGTCTTTAGACTAAAAACAAATATTATGAATACTTTTTAAATGTCAACTACTGTTTATTAACAAGTGTGGCTGATGTAGCTCATAAGTAGCTCTTTGTAGCCGATCGATGCGCTACATTGTGCTAGTTAGGCAGTTATTTGTGAGTAGTGGTATTAAATAATTGATATGAATTCGGGATCAGCTTTACTAAGAGTGAAATTCCAGTCTAGTGCTTCCGAGTGCATGGTTGACTGGATGAACTGAGGATTGACCATGAACGTGAAGTCCGAAGCATGGTCAACACAAATCCATGATAATCGTTTTGACTTCTTTTTGTTTATTGGTAATAGAAATATGCAAAAAAGGTTTAGGAAAAGGTCACGACCAGACAAAGGATTCCTGAGGGAAATATAAACGATAAAAAGATAGGCAACTATGGCAAGGTTCGAACTCAGCATCCCAAAGTGGAGGACTGTGCCACTTGATCACCACTGTCTTAGTTAGTAGGTATGTTGTCAGATGAAATAAAACCCTTTTTAAGAACAGTGAGTGTTGTTTACGCTCAATTCTCAAAAGTATCTTATCAATAGAGGAAATAAGCCGCATATAAAGAGTAACATAATCTATGAAAAGTAATGACTCGTTTGTGTTGAGTTGACTCAAAACTGTTGGCACATAGTGTTATAGTATTGCTTTGGATGACCAGTTCGGTGCCCAGAACGGTGGCGGCAGCTTGCCAGGTCGTCCAGTTTCTTGCTCTGGTGAGATTCAAGGATCTCCCGGTGCTGCGACAATATGATGGAAGGATTCATCTTCAATNTTCAATGGTATACACGTAGAGGGACGACTAGGAGAGGACCCCCAGGCACAGCACCCCACACTGGTCCCTCCGACCGAAGAGTCACATCAAAAACCTTGAAGCCCGTAAGAATGAAAGATACTGAGTTTAGAAGGACAATATGGGGTTTAGTGGTGAGATGAAAAGAGGAAGTGGAAGTGGAGAATAAGAGGGCCATTAGGATGAAGAGAGGCGAGGAGGGAGATGGGCTTCAGGAGCTTGACACGTTTATTCTCCTCAGATGAACAAACTACTCCATAAGAAATTCAAACAGTGTTTGAAGTCAGTCGCTGAAGTAGCTGCTATAGCTTCACCTGACAGTTTTTTCCAGTCATTCACAACTGGAACCGGAAAGGATGTCACCCTCAGTCGAAAGTTCACCCTATCCTTTGCCAGTTTCAATGCATGCCCCCGGGGTGTGGTAGTTTCACTTAGCTTTAATAGCCTCTCGAAACCACTCCCTATGTTTGTGATCCCTTCAAGGATCTTAAACGCATCTATGAGGTCACCTCGTCATCTCGGTCTTTCCAATGAGAAGAGGTGCAGCACCTCTAAACTTCTCTCATACGAGAGATCCCTTTTCCCTCCAAACGACCAAAAGGTCCGGGAAAGTCCCTCGAACCGAACAGATTATATGGAGAAACCAAGGCTGCCGATTTGGTCGAAACCTAATGTTTTTGCATTTATTCGAGTGCTACTACTACTAATACTGTTTACGAATAATAATGTGGCTGAATTTAGGCAGATATCTGGCTTTAGTTAAAATTTACACTTGAAAATATCTGTGAGTTGTTACGTTCACCTTAGACGTGTACGAGCGCCTCATCACTAGCTCCCAACAATGGTACGGAGAGAGAGAACAAAGCTGGAACACATGAATCGGATTGTATTATTGATCTTGACGCGATCGACAAACATAAGTGGTGCATTGGTGAACGAGAAACGACGTGGTGACGCACCAATCAGATCGCGTCCTTGACACTCCGATTGATCGATTGGACGATAGGTGTCTGATTCGTTCTGGTTATCCAATCCGGAATCCATTTGCCTTTGGGAGCCGCTAACGCATTTGTGGTCTGACATGGATCCATACGTAGCCCGACGGATTCTGTGCGCTCCGTCCTAATAAGAGTAATGACTGAATAGAATGTACGCGAGTGTGGTTATAGCTTTTTGTCTATCACACCACTTTTACGTTTCAGAATGATTAAAGCAGGAGGTATACCGCGGAGAGTCAAATGATTATGCTATAGTGGCTGAGTGAATAAAAATCCCTGAGAAATTGACACAATGGCCTATTTGAGCTATCAAATATCAGGGTCAGTCTACTAAGGTCAGTTTTTAGAGGCTTTTAGGACGAAAAACGAAGAACAGTGCATTTGTTTTATCTGAGAAACAGACGAATATTGGGAAACGCATTGATTCCGTTCATATCATGCAATGATTGTTACAGAACATGAGGTGAACTGTAGAAAAAGATGATGCTAGCTGTATGATGTGATCCACATTACTGACTTGGTTAAACACTAGCTTTTTCCACGAGCTGGACAGGGCAAATCAATAGTCGAAGTTAAACTTTCATTCTCGAAAACACTCACAAGCATTTGCTTTTCTTGTCCCTTAGGGTTTAGCATCAATGTATCAATTTACGGTTCATATAAATATAAAAAAGATTTCAAGTTATCTTTGTTGCATTCACTGAAATTAAGGACTTGTCGAAAATTCGTCCAGTTTGTGCTTGAAAGAATCGATTGTGGTCACATAAATAACGTGAGGGCAAATATATGGTGCCGGCATTCTAGTTGGGTAATCAGGGTTCTGCATTATTTGATAAACCACAACCAGGTCTCCTCGAGTTCGACGATATTGCGAGGGGTCCAAACCCTTATGATTTCAGTCTTCCCTTATAGGTCTTCGAATGCAGTCCGTTGACCATTTGGGTGGTCATTATTTTTGAACGTTCCAAATCTTCCAATCACGTTACAGCAATGAATTCCATTCTTGAATGGTCTGTTCTATTTGGGGTCGAATGGAGACTGATAACAACCGTGGGAACAATATAGGTTCGAATTTGCCAAATACTCGCTTTAGCAAACCAACATGTTTTATAGCAGTTGAGAGAACAACTTAGGTCGTTCCGAACAATGCCACCATAATCCTTCTCACAAAAGGTGTACGGAGGTGAATGATATCCCAGGAAGTACAGAAACGGAGTTTTGTGGCGAAGGGATACGACCGTATATTTTGATGCATTGAATTCGATTGAGCATTGATAAGCAACACTAAGTGTTTTCTGAAGTACCGGTGAGTCTTCGAGTTTTATCACTTCCATATTTTTGCATCGTCAGCAAGCATTAACGTTTGTGAGGTCGTTTATAAAAACAAGAAAAGTTGGGGGGCAAGCACGGATCCCTGTGGAATTCCTCAAGCTACACTGATAGGATCGGAAAGTGGCCCATAAGCCGGAGTGCCATGGTGTGTTGTCGAAGAAATTAATCTATCCAACACAATCTCCGAATTCTATAATTTTGTAGTTTCCTCAGAAGTATTTTATGTTTCACTAGATCGAAGGCTTTGAAAGAAAGTGCTTCCGCATTGGGAGTTTTCAATTGGTTAGCGGTTCGCGCCGGGGAAAGCATATGATTTTTTCATCAAAAGGATCAAACTACCAGTTGCAAGAATAACCCGACTAGTATAATTTTGAACAATCAAATAAAAAACAAGTGATCATGATTATGAAATATGGGACTGGGATGCAAAAAAGTTAAGCCTACGATTATTTTAATGCATTGTTCATGTATCTGTAATGAGAAAAAAGTGGTCACATTATCAATGTGTCTAATTTTGCACCCATTCAAATTGTGAGTTTTCTACTGAGGGAGATACTATATAAAAATATCAGCAGGATAAATGCGTCAGCTCAACACGTGATATCCATGGTGCAGTGCAGTGCGGATCAAATTTCACATTGACCCAAACATTAGTCACAATATTTCGATCAATTTTTTTCATTTTCATGAATTCATTTCGTTTTTCACCTCAGAAAAGTAACAAAACCAGACGGGGGGGGTGTGTGAATGAGAATCACCGATTGATCGATTGCCAACGCGGGAATTCTTCTTCTTGCTCAAGTGAAAAATTGTTTGTTCTATCCAAAACGATCGGGATTGAAAACATGAGGTGTTTGGTTGAGACGAGAAATGTTTGTCCATCATCCTAAGTACGATACACACAAAAACGTATTTGCGTTCGATTTATGGATCTCGTTCGTCTAGTCACTTCTTCCGGTTCATTTATAGGAGTAACACGCATCCTCAAAAGCCAAAATCCGGTTGATCGAGGTTGTTTGGTTTACAAAACAATAGCGACTAATAGTTAGGTACTGCAAGAATAAAACGCACTTCGAATCCAGAGTTGAAAACACAAACAAGGCAGCTCAACATTTTGTAAAGCGGTAATGAAAGCAGTGTTTTGGGAAGTTACTTGCGGCGGGATCAGTGTGGTCCAACTGGAAGATGCCGACGAATGGAAAATCGTTCTCAGTAAAAGTAAAGTAAATTTATAAATGGAGAATACTGATTCCGCGATACACGGCACAAAAGACGTGTACATATCTGATCCGTTTGAATTGCCTCAGTGTGCATCGAACACGGTTGTAAACACGCTGAACACAGCTTTTATGTAATATTTTCAGGTCTATGCCAGTGATCCAAACCGGGGGCCTCAATTACCCAACCAATCACCTGCACTAAGTCAGCGTCTGGTCAGTCCACTTGTTATGTGCGGACCACGGGGACTGCGTTTCCGCATCCCCGTTGAGTTGACGGTGCCGCGCTACCACGTAGAATCGGATTTTGACTCGGAGTCCGACGTATCACAACGCAGCCGATCCGGACACACGCCTCGAATCACATTGCTACACACGTCCTCATTCTCTACCTCGACATCAGCAGACGAGGACTATTCATCAGCGGAACAACCGAAGACGGACATGAGCAAGACACACTATGCGACATGGCATGAAATTCCCCTCGTACAGCCAAATCAACTGCCCGTACCTACGGGTGATGGCGGAATTAAATCAGTTATTCGGAATTCGACTATATGCATCTCCATTGACCATTTCTAACGGACAGATTCAACCGAAGTTCACTCAAACTCTCTCTCTCGTGTCCTGAACATTTAGGATAGAAGTTGACTGATATGCTCCAGGAAAAAAATCGTGAATAATTTCTCGCCCCTACATATACCACGTATGTTATAGATAACATTACTGAAGCTTTATACCTTTGTTTTTATAGAATAATTCAAAGCAGCTCATGTCAACAAAAGACCTTTTAATTGAATCATGTCCAAGCTGTCTCCCTCCCCCTCGATCTTTCTCGAATCCTTTTAGAAATAGAGTTCCTTTTGAGCGCAACAAAATCCAATGGTTTCTTTGAAATACCAGAACGAGGTTGGTCAAAGATGTTTACTGCTGTCGATCGATTATTGCGAACAACGCCTTTGTGTTTTGGTTTTTCGTTTGTCGTGGCTAAGACAAACTAATTTCCTCAATAATCATGAGCATGACGTCCAAGTTTTTCAGTGAGATCCGTTCCATCCATGGATCTCGTGTGAAAAATTGTTGCATTTCGAGAGTTCCCAATTGTGGTATGTGTCATGTTAGTTTCGGTGAATTAAAATAAAAATGGTAGGAGTGTTTCAGACTGAAAAACTATTCACCACGCATGCGTTCACGGTTCGTCAGTGCAGGAACGATTCAGGATCTATGGGTTCGACTCCGTGACTGTGATTTGATCACAACTATGTTAACCTCCGGAACTATGATTCATCCGAATCACCGCCTTTCACCATCACGCTTTAGCCAAAACCCACAATCCTTTAGCTTTGACCCACATCTCATCAACGACCCGTTCCTAACATCCAACTTGCTGTCACTAGCTCGCTGTCAGGCAGTCGCTTCTTTATTCTTATTCTATCGATACTACTTTGGATTTTGCTCTGCTGAGCTTTCCGCATCTGTCCCTCTCCCATTTGGTCTTTCTCGTAGATCCCGCGCACAAGCGGCTAGCCACCCATTTCAGGTACCTATCCCCAGGTGTCACATTTCTAACCTTGAATCATCTTTTTTCTCAAGAACAGCATCACTTTCGGTCTTCCTTCCAACGTATAACATTCATGTTTTTAAACGCAGAATCAACAAGCTTATTCCTCAAACTTTCTCACTTACAGTATAACTCCGGAGCATGGGGTTTACCCTTTTTACTGTACTGTACTTTTGTGTAATAAAAGAAAACATTCCTTTGGACAAGACCTGCAATGCCAAGACCCGTAGTCCTCTAGTATCGACCCACAAACTTTACTCATATCGCTGTAGGTGGGTCAGATCAAAAAGTATCGGGATATCCTGAGGTCAAGGAACTTTGATGTTGCAAAGCTTGTTTGAGAAGTAGGAAGGTGTGTGGGTCATACGTTGCACCACATGTTGACTGGAGAATGTTTAACCGATATGCCCGTATCGTCAAACCATTAGACACATTTCGTACAGCTCTAGTGTTTCCGTATAATATGCGATACTCCTGTAAGTAAAACTCTCAAGTGCAACACAAACGGGACATTGTTTTGCGTTCACAAGCAAATTCTGTTCATGATGTTCATGTGGATGCATTACTATGCCAAGGCTAATACACACCGGTCATAAAACACCATGGGACCATGCAGTGGAACAGTGACTGATTGAATTGGGTGGATGAAAATAATGCTGTTGTATGTATCACCAACCATTACATCATCAGCATTCTTAAATGGAAGCCTTGGTCGATCTTTTCATCGAAAACACATGAACGAGTCAATATCTGCATTTAACCAGCTTCGTCCCCATCCGTTACAAACGAGGGCTAGTGAGGACAAGTTATGATCACGTGAGGAAAATTTGTACGCCTGATAACCTCGCAGATGCCAAATGCTAAAACTGAATAGCACTCTCCAGGACACTGGTTACCCGAACCCATTCATGCAGAAGTATAGCATTGCACGCCCAAACAGAGAGCGACCGATATCCGTACCGAAGTGTAAGGTTGTCCTACAACTGCCGTTCAAGGGTGATGATGTGAGTAATTTGTTGAAGCACCGCCTAAGCTCATCCGTCAAATTCAACACATTCAACACAACCGAACCAGTTTTCGTCTACACATGTGATAGAATACCGGCTCCTCCAGTCAAACAACCGCTTCCGCAGTAGGCCAAATCCCATTGATTGTACCAATTCGTCTGTGGGTGCTCGGCCACCTACCTAGGCAGAACCGAGCGGCAGCTTAGACAAAGAGTAGCCGAACACATCCATGTGTGGGTCAACAAACTGGTGAACGAATCACACCCGAACGATCAAGGTTAAATGTCAACCCAACGCCGCACACCAGCGTCATCGATCGCTCGTCACCTGCTAGAGACTGGGCACCAAGTGAACGTGACCACAGCATTTAAGTGTCCTCATCACGAAAAACTCTCGGTTGCTCCAGTTTGCAGAGGCGATTGCCATTAAACGATGGAAGCCTGAACTGTGCAAGCAGAAGGAGTTATTTCTAACTCTAGCCCTACCTTGGTGGAAAGATGGACGCAAATAACACGAACAGCTCATACGCGGTAAATGTTACTTGTTAGTTTTCATTATATTCTTTGACTGTAGTATGTACCTAAAGAGATAGAGCGAAATTTTTCCGGAGTTAAATTGTATAACACTGTGCTGCTGCTGTGTTCTTTATTCAAAGAAATTTATGTACAATAAAAATACTTGCTATCAAAGATCTCAAAAAGCATCCCAGACTACTGGATAATGGATGAGGCACCATTTTCGTTCCATGGAGAGGGTGTTTCTCCCTCCCTTTTTGTGGCAAATGTGTTTTTTCTACAGTGACATATTGGACAGCGAGATTCTCGGGTCATGGGCTGGTCGAAGAGCCGGTAGCAACTAACTGATTCAACTTGTCAGGCGTGCTGGAAATGCACAATATTCACCTGAATCTAGAGACGATCCTCAAAACGAGTGGTATTTTCGTACATTGTCTTCCAAATCAGACATATTTATTTGGCCCGTCCAAGGACTGAGCTGTAAATTAGTAGTAATTATAGTAATAGTAGTACGCATTGAAAGCAGAATACGAATCACGGAATACAAATCACTGATTAGAAATCACGGACGTCACGTAAGCACTGGATCACACACTAGCACTTGCACGCAATATCCCACCTAACCGAGACGCGAGGAAAAAAGGCCACAGGAGAAGTAGTTCATTTATTGAAAGAAATCAGGGAGGTTTAAATGTACAAAACAATCTCCTTGGTCATCCGGGCCTCTGCCAATCACGTTCTAGTATTTCTGCCGTTGTTCAGCTTCCGTCTGGGCCACACGGTTTCTGATTGGTTGGTACAATCTAGTTTAGAAGCTGTGACACGTATGCGCATTGCTGACGTCATCTGGGAAACTTGTTCATTACAGTTGTCCGAAAACCGACTGTAATGCGTCGCTCCGTGGTACGCATCATCTCGTAGGTCAGGAACACCATAGAATTCCGAAGAAAATCCACGGCAAACATATTCAGATGTGTGGATTGACACACTTAAGTACGCTCCAGTATGATAAGGAGAGTCAGTGTGTTTCACTTTATGGCAATAATACAAATTAATTGCAAAAGTCTGGTAGGAGAATCGGACAAGCAATGCTGAGATTAGATGGAGAGTTTTAAGTAGTTGTGGTCGTTCACGAGAACAATTCGTTAACCTCGATAGACTACGCCGTTTGGGGCATGTATTGCGCATGTTACCAAATAGATTGTGATGGCGCAGGATGTTTGCCGAGGTCGGTGGCGGATGATAAAAGATCAGAGGCGGCCAAACTAAAATATTGGTATGAGGGTATAAAACCCCCTACCAGGATACTCATCATCAGCATCATCATCATCATCATCATACAGCGAGGTACAGTGAAGCTCGCTTCACTGAACAATGCCATGCTCACAATGTACACAAATCAAGTGATAAAGCATAAGATGGAGAGGGATTGGGCCTACTTGGAGGGAGGCAAACAAAAAGAACCTCTATGTTCAACACACAGAGCATACAATCTAATTGTGCATACATACCTTTTCAAGCATTCTGCCTTGTTAAGAAATGACAACAAGAGCGTCACTGCTGTCCGTTAGTTGCCATATCCTTTAATATCTCCAGCCAACCAGTTGTAGAGTCTTTCTGACCCCAACCTGGAAGACGGGAGACACCGATTCTACCTAGTCGCTCTGTGCATTTCTTCATGCCTCGCTTCCACGTCATCTGTTGACCACCACGCGGTTTCTTCCAACCTGGAGCCGCAACTGCGAATAAGGCGCTGTGCAGCAGACGATAGCTGGACATGCGCGATACATGTCCTAACCAGCGAAGCCGACTAATCTGAATTCGATAGGACAACGAATTCTCCATCGAATAATTACCAAATACGAAACACCTTACCTCAGAGTTGCTTACAAGCTCGCTCCATCCAACGGGTGCCAAACTACGAAAACATCTGCGATCGAATACTTCAAGACGGCGAATATCTTCCACACGCAAATTTAGGGTCTCGCAACCATAGAGCAGAACTGGCCGCACACTGGCTTACATAGGTGCGGTTAGGCCCCCTGGATGAGGCCCTTCGAGATCATGGTAACCGGTGGTTAGAGACACTGAGCTGGGCGTTGCAAACAATGGCGCTCATGCATCTACGCATTATTCTTGCAACAGTCTACGTGACTTTTCTATCTCCTCTTTAACGCAGTTCTCAACACTTCGATCTTTCAAAAAGACAGCAAGCAAAACCGATGCACGAAGGTGCATGAATACCCAGGTAGCACAGCGTTGCGCATCGAGCGGCTACAAAGTGCTACTCATGAGCTACATCAACTACATTTGTTTTTCAACAGTAACCAACCTTTAAAACGCATTTATCATAACAAAGCGGGTTGAACACTCCTTCTAATAATTCATTCCATCAAATAACTCTTATTTTCGGTGTCCTAATTCTTGAATTTATTGCTTGCGCAAAATGTGCCGAAGTCCATGGCGAGATAGTAAATCCATGTGAAAATAAGCGGGTAA